AGGCCCAAAATATATTTCTGATATCCTGCTAAATTATGAACCATCCAGATCTCTCAGGTCTTCAGGTCAGCTCTCTGTACCCAGAACCAGAACTCTCAGGTCTTCAGGTCTGCTCTCTGTCCCCAGAACCAGAACTCTCAGGTCTTCAGGTCAGCTCTCTGTCCCCAGAACCAGAACTCTCAGGTCTTCTGGTCTGCTCTCTGTCCCCAGAACCAGATCTCTCAGGTCTTCAGGTCAGCTCTGTGTCCCCAGAACCAGATCTCTCAGGTCTTCAGGTCAGCTCTGTGTCCCCAGAACCAGATCTCTCAGGTCTTCAGGTCTGCTCTCTGTCCCCAGAACCAGATCTCTCAGGTCTTCAGGTCTGCTCTCTGTCCCCAGAACCAGAACTCTCAGGTCTTCTGGTCAGCTTTCTGTCCCCAGAACCAGAACTCTCAGGTCTTCAGGTCAGCTCTCTGTCCCCAGAACCAGAACTAAACCTGGAGAAGTTCAGTTATGATGCTCCAAACATCTGGAACAAACTCCCAGAAACCTGCAGGTCCGCTGAAACTCGGACTACTTTTAAATCCAGGCTGAAGACTTTTCTTTTTGTCGCTGCTTTTAATTGAACTATTCACATCTTAAACTGCACTGTAACTTTTATTCATGTATTTTGTCTTTTAATGTTTATTTTGTAATCTTTGCTTTTTAATGACTGTTTTTAAATGCCATTTTCTTAATGTCTTTCATTTTTGTAAAGCACTTTGAATTGCCTTGTGTTGAAAGGTGCTGTATAAATGAACTTGCCTTGCCTATAGGGCTGCATTCTCTCATATCACCAGCAGGGGGCGACTATAATTCACTGATAGTAGAATGAGTTGTAAAGTGATGTGTACATTTGGCTCCACCTGCTGCTCTACTAGCCCCTCCCCCTCCTCCTCCTCCTCCCTGTGTGAGGAGCAGTGGAGGAGTGTCGGACCTGAGAGGAGAAGCAGCTCACAGTGAGTTTTCATTTACAAACTTTACAAACTTTAAAATCAATGCAAACTTTTAAATAAAAGTTTAACTTCAAACTTGTATTTAAATCCTGACAGTGGTGTAGTTCTGATCAGTGTTAGAGAGTAACTAAGTACTCAGATACTGCAGTGTAGTGAAGTACCTTTACCATTTCCTGCTACTTCATACTTTTACTCTACATTCACAGGGAAATACTTTTATCCAATACATGTTGTGACTCACAGGGGGATACATAAATACAGTTCCATCTTATCCTATCTTAAGGTACAAAGAACACTAAACATAATACAAAAAGAATGTATATAAAGTATTATAATAAGTTATAATAGAACTGTATTGATCCCTTGGTTAAACAGCAGTTTATAGTTAGAAAAAATACTCTTTTTTTACTTGACGCAACATATTAATGCATTTATTTGTAATTATTATATTAATTATCTTTCATTTATACTATTTATTATTCATATGTATTTGCATATGCATTCGTTTGACTTGACAGAGTATTTCTGTATCACTAACTATATCTGAATACTAATTTTACCTGGGATTCTGCAGTAGGAAGTACTTTATAAAGTTTGAAGGTGACTTTCCGATGTCTTATTTTTAGGTGTGAAATCACAACTCATCAGCTTTTTTTCTTGCATCTTCAACGTCTTTGCAAACTCATTAAAACGTCTCCACCTCACCTCAGTGATTCATTGTGAACCACTTGGAGTTAAATGTAATCGACACACTCTGGTTTGGAAACCAGCTTCACCAAATAATGACGAGGCAGCGGAGTCATCCTCCATCCCACAGACACTCGGCCAAATCACTGAAATACTTTTGGAGGCCGACAGAGCGACTGTAAAAAGGAAAGCATCAAAGTTTCCTTCTGTAAAATAATGCTGACAGTGAAAAACTGAAGTACTTTAATCAAAATAAACTCTGATATATTTACTATTTTCAATCTTAGGGAATATTTGCATTTTTGTACCACTTACATTTTAGAGAAGTGTTTTCCTTTACTTTAAACGTAGAGAATATTTGCGTTTTTTCTTTACCACCTTATTCTTGTCGAATATTTAAGTTTTTCTCTTGTAAATTCGCACTTTAAATCTCAGAGAATATAGATAGAATGGGAGGGATGAAACCCTCTTCAATGGTCACATATGCTGAGCACACAGCATACACAGCGCCCGGGGAGCAATGGGAGTGAGGGAGGAAGGGGGGGGATGTCCTGTGCCTTGCTCAAGGGCACCACTGCAGGGCCCAGGCGGTGAACTGGGAGCTCTCCAAGTAGCAGTATATACTCCATATTTAGGTCTGTTCGGGGACTTGAACCGGCGACCCTACGGCTCACAGTCCAAGCCCCTACTGACTGAGGCCACTGCCGGACCATATCCACCTGTTATGCAGTCCCATAACAGAAAAACAAAGAGCATTTCTTAGAGTCTGAGGTTGTTTTGTTTTTATTTGACCGTTAAGAGATAAAAACTACCACCCAGATTGTGTGTCTTTCCTTCTGTAGACATTCCTCTGCTGATTAGAGGTCTGTGTCTTCCTGATCGTCTGAGGTTGATTTCCGTCTTTTCTGATTTTCTTTCCCTTTCCGTGTCGCTGTTATTTCTGTCCTAAGATGTTCAAGCCCAAACCAAAATATCACTTTCAGCAAGAGAGTAGCCGCAGCCAATCAGAAAACAGATTCTAAAAGTAGGAACATTTCCTCATAGACTTCTCTACAATCCGTGCAGGTTTAAAAAACAAGATGTTGTTATCTTTGTCTGTTTTTCCCAATCAGCTACTGATTATTTTTACCCAATTATTTAAACACAAATAAATGCAGCAAAAGTTCCCTAACTTGCAATGCAAACAAGAATTATAGATGCACTTTTAAACAAATTATTCACCCCTTAATTCAGATCCGCGCCAAAACATAATGGGCCTTCCGTGGTCTAACCATTCAGTTTTCTGTAAATTGGACCATTATTTTCCACTCTGGTTTGCAACCAATGGGATATCAAGGCGCTCCATCAGAAGACTCTTTAAACCAATGGGACGCAAATGTATTCAATTGGTTGAATGACAAAAAAACAACTCCCTACATAGCGACTTCACTCTTTACCCAGCAGCCAATTTGTAAAACAAACCTCAGAGATCGCCAAATTGTAACCCCTAGTCTGAAAAACCCTGAAGGTCCATCCATCACTTGTTCGAGCTGTGTCCAATCGCGGTTGTTTCTTTTTTCAAACCCTCATTAAAAGTCTCCCGCCCTTTCTATATGCAGTGATTTATTTGGCTTTTATCCAAACCTCAGTCTGCAGCTTCCATTTGACTATCTGCCTATCAACCTCTCTTTGTGCAGACCGGTGTGTTCTTTTCATTTATGTTTAAATGAACGTCCTTAAGGTCATAAAAGTGTGTTATCAGACTCTGGACTTTGAAGCTTTACCTCTGTTGAACTGTGGTTGTATTTTACAGGTTTTTGCTTCAGTCTGTGTGATATAAATTAAATCATGGGAGCCAACGACCTCAAGATGAACCCTGACCCCGCGGAGTTTCGCCCCCCCGCCCGACGCCGGAGTCTCTTCTACAGCGTCAAGGTTCGTCTACTTTACATCTACGTTTGATGACAAAAAAATGCACATATCGTTGGGTTTAAATGTTGAATATTGCTTTCAGTCCATTCGGAACATATTTTGAAAAGTAACATAAAGAAATCCTCCATGGAGTAGGAAAAACATAGAAGGTTTCATAGAAGACAAAACAATACCAATACAACTAATAAAACAGACATTTTTGGAAAACAAATAAATCAGGATGGGTGGTTTTTGGATCCATGTTTTTATGTAACCTGACTTTGAAAATACACACAATAACCTCAGAAATATGTGTATTATTCATATGCCATTTCATGATATCAGGCTGCCCAATAATTAAGACCCCGTGGACACAGATGCTTTTCTTGGAGACATATGAGTTAGTATCTTTGTCTACGTGTAAATTAAAAGCATTTTAATCTGCAGGAGTAGGTGTTCAAGGTTTTGTTGTTTTCGGCACCGATTTCCTTCTTGTCTGAGGCGAAACTTCCCTTCCTGAAGTTCATCCTGGTATTGTTCACATGTAAACATTTCCTCCCGACATGTCACGAAACTGATGAACTCTTTGTGTCGTAAATCACTCAAAACCTGGACTCATTTTAAATCAGGAGTTTGACATCCGCAGAGAGCCAAACCAACGGCCATGTTTCAGTGTTTTCCTTTATATTCTCCTTCTTCTTCTTCTTCTCTGCAGTTCTTCGTGTTTTGCCACAGTTTGCTGCAGTTGGCTCAGTTGTTGGTGTCGGGCTACATGAAGAGCTCCATCTCCACCATCGAGAGACGCTACGGCTTCAACAGCCAGAAGTCGGGACTCCTGGCTTCTTTCAATGAGGTCAGTGACGGACAAGCAGGGGCCCCAACACGACAGTGGGCCCCATTGGCCTTCAATGCAAACATGTCGCTATAAGATAAACCAAACAGGAAGAGACTAAAACAACCACAGAGACTTAAACCATGACAAAGACAGAGAGAAACCACAAAGAGACACAAAACAACAGAACATAGAATTCAAAACAACCCAAAACAGATTCAACACATCTGAAACAAGATGCATAACGACAAAGAGACTGAAGTGACCAGAAAGAGACGCAGATGGAAATTAGCTACTAGCTCAAATCTGGCATATATCACCTTCTTGAGATGAGTGTATTTTATGCTTGGTCCTTGTTCAATAAAGACATCATTTACAAAGTACAATGAAATAAACAATAAGCCACAACAATTACAACAAGATGCAAAAAGCTCATTTATGATTATTTAGGTTCGGCGAATAAACAAATACCAAGAGACTCAAACTGACTGCAAACTCATTTAAAACGACCACAAAGAGACACAAAATAACCACTAAATGTCTCTCTTTGTCTCATTACACCTGCATGGGAGTTCTGCAGTTTGTTTTTGTTTACAACACAGCTGCTGGTCTTTCCAGATAATCGTACTGAGTAATTATAAGGTTTTGTCAAGAAAAAATGACATTCCTGATCAACTGTCGGGCCAAAGGCAAGCACAGAGAGGTCTTAAAAACCTATTCAACACACTTTCATTTAGAAAACACATTTAAACCAACTCAGAACAGCAAGGAGGTTTCCACATGTGCTATCTGCTTTAAGGTTGGACACCGGGAAACGAAAACTCAGCATTTCCCAGGAATAGTTTGTCAAATGTTGTCGACTTTCTTGAGAAAATACCTGTACCTGTAATACCTGTACCTGTAATACCTGTACCTGTACCTGTAATACCTGTACCTGTAATACCTGTACCTGTAATACCTGTACCTGTAATACCTGTACCTGTAATACCTGTACCTAAATACCTGAGAACTTGGGATCATTTTCATGGTATGTGTTAAATTAGGTTAACAAGGAGATTCATGCTTTGTTTTGTGCAACGCTAATGTAGGGATTGTTTGATAGTAATTGTTATTCTGCTAAAAATGTGCCCAGATATCTAATAGAAGATTAACGAGAGATCTAAGAGATGTCCACATCGGATAGAGAAAGAGATTCATAGGGAGGTTACAAGGTTTTAAAAAAGTAGTTTTCCCCGTAATGTTCTTAAGAAAAGTCCCCGCATGGGATGATCCGAAACTTGGTCCCCAATGCAAACAAAAACCAGTGTGTGTGTGTGTGTGTGTGTGTGTGTGTGTGTGTGTGTGTGTGTGTGTGTGTGTGTGTGTGTGTGTGTGTGTGTGTGTGTGTGTGTGTGTGTGTGTGTGTGTGTGTGTGTGTGTGTGTGTGTGTGTGTGTGTGTGTGTGTGTGTGTGTGTGTGTGTGTGTGTGTGTGTGTGTGTGTGTGTGCAGGTGGGGAACACGATCCTCAT